GATCAACATGATGGAGAACGCAGATCGTGATATCAGAAGCAATGCGTGCGAAGTTCTTCGTTCGATGGGGGAGAAAGCAGCCAACAAAGAAGTGATCGACGCACTGATCAACGCGATGGGGGACGAAGATCGTGATATCAGATTGAAGGCGTGCAATGCTCTTCGTCGCATGGGCGAGAAGGCGGCCAACAAAGACATGATCAACGCACTGATCAACGCGATGGGGTTTGAAGATATTTATGTTAGAAGCAATGCGCGCGGAGTTCTTCGTTCGATGTGCGAGAAGGCGGCCAACAAAGAAGTGATCGATGTACTGGTCAATGCGATGCGGGATACAGAGGATGTATTTGTCAGAAGCGATGCGTGCCTAGCTCTTGGTTCGATGGGCAAGAAGGCGGCCAACAAAGAAGCGATCAACGCACTGATCAACATGATGGGGAACGCAGATCGTGATATCAGAAGCAATGCGTGCGTAGTTCTTTGTTCGATGGGCGAGATAGCGGCCAACAAAGAAGTGATCGATGCACTGGTCAACGCGATGCGGGATACACAGGATGTAATAGTCAGAAGGAATGCGTGCGTAGCTCTTGGTTCGATGGGCGGGAAAGCGGCCAACAAAGAAGTGATCGATGCACTGATCAACGCGATGGCGGATGAAGATAGGAATGTCAGAATGGAAGCGTGTGAAGCTCTTGGCCGTTTAGAGGCGAAGGTATCCAGGGTACATGCCGTGGGAGTTCTAGTTGTATTGGAAAGGACGGATGATGTTTCTGGCAGTGCATGCGAGTGGTTATGCCAGCAGGCGTGCCTGAAGGATTGGAACGAGGAGCTGCTGCGGGAGCTCTGCTGTGTGATCCAGATGGCAAGGGATGTAAGATTCACTGTCTCACCTCTGAAAAGCATGATGGAACAACTTAATATTGGAGATCTCAATGCTTGGACTAATGTCTTGTTGCAAGTATGTTTGGTGAGGGGTATTGCCCTGTGTTGGAATGGGAAAGAGCTCTCCGTGTGTGATGAGGATACTATGAGACTTCCAGAATTCTTAGGATCTGTACACGTTGGAAAATTAGTGGTTGAATTGGAATCTTCTCCTCGAGCAGATGGCTGGCCGAAACGAAAGGATGTGACGCGATCTTCTCTGTGCGCGATATTGTAAAGCAGTGTGACAATAGGAAGCAAATCTAATTTGGAGGAGGGTTTTATACTAATAATGTAATAATCAAAAATTCACAAGATCTACTTCAATTTGTGCTACGGTTATCTTGAGTATGGGTGTTGATAGTGAGAGGCGTTCGGGTTTGTGTGCAATGTCAAAGAAGAGCAGAGTAATTTGCAAGACAGGAGTTTTGCAAAACCATTTGGTGATTGTAGCTTTTTGAGAAGAACTAATCCTGAAAAAATCTTTGCGTATGCGTAAAGGAAGAAGGCTTAAACCATTATACGACGCGTTTGTGCTGTTTTTTTAGCTATTTAGCGTCAGGCATCTTCGAAATCGCGGACTATATTCGGTGTAGGACAAAAGCCTAATACCACTTTTGTTTTTGGGTTTTGTATTGATATAAACTAAATTAACATAATTTGTCTATATTCCTGTGTAGTAGAGGTGGAGTATCATATCCAGAGATAGGTACGTCAGTGACTTTTCGATTGAAGCCAAATTAAGGCATAGCTAATTCAAAAAAAATTGAGACCTAGTCAAGCCAAGTCATGACTTGTTGAAAACCATTTCAAGTCAAGTCAAGTCAAGTCAAAATTCAAGCTAGTTCTCATCAAATTTTCTTGCGTTCGGAAAAAAACATGAAAAAATTATGCTTTTATCCTTTTTCAAAGGAGAATTAATTTCTAACAGTTTAACCAGAAATAAGAAAGTAACTGAAAAAAGCCAAATGTATCACAAATAGGATAAATCGATTTAACTTCAAAGCAAAAACAAATGTACTGCGAAAGATTGATATAAGTTTACAGAAGAAAGAAAACTCATCTAATATCGTAAAAAAAGACACTTATACCAGAGATGTGCAAGAGGTCGCAACAATCTATATGAAATGTGGTGCGGTCGCACCGATTTAACATAGACTGGTATGACTTCCTGCACATTTTTGGCATGAACCATAAATAATTGATTCAGCTTCACATTCACATATACACAACTATATCACAAATAAATTGACTTGATCTTACAATTACCAAAGAGAAATTTACAGTATAATTGAAGACATCATGATTAAATGTCGCATTACGTTTTAATAACGTGAGTTTTTAAAAAGTGTTTCGTGTCGTTCTGGCCTGATGAGGACGAAAAGTGGATCGTTTTGAGAAAAAACGCGTTCCACAGTGACCGTTTGTTGCTGGTATGCATAAATGTATTGTAGCTAATTTAGCTAATGTCGTATATGAATTTGATGATGCTGATCTCAAGAGTGCAATGTCATAATTGTTACTATCATTAAAATAATGCGATATTTCTTTTTGAATATAATTGTTTGAATCATTTAATTTTGTTGTCTCTGATCTTTTTGAATATTTGAAAATAGACACTTTTTTCCAATGCATTTGTACTTAGCGATTGAGCATCTTTGACTGGCTGTTGTTGCTCTTGAACCAGTTCTAAGTCAACTGAAACAGAAGTTTGATTAGCATGTTCAATAACAACAGCTTGGTCGAATATGAGCTTTTTTTATTTCTTCACATATTCTTTCTTTGACTAGATCAATAAGATATGATTCGGTAATCCAATCATGAAATGACGTAAAAAGAAAAACAGGATCTTTACACAGATAATAAAGCTGCTTGTTGATTTTAAAATCGGTACCTGTTTTATTTAATATCAATTTCTAGCTGCTCCAAAAGAATTCCAAATCGTGATAATAATAAAGATATTAAAACATCGCATAATGCAAGTGTATCTTGTCTGTTATTTCTTTCGTTTTGTGAAACACTATCTGAAAGGAGTGTTAAAATGCATATAGGCAGAAATATGGACCCCCCAGGCTATAATAGAAGTGCACTTGACTGTTACAGACCGTGGCGGACGTCTTCCAAAGGCAGAGGGGAAAAGCGGGTCCCCTCTATCCCCGATACAACGGAATCCAGACGATCCGGATGATACATACCATACGCCGGAGATCCAAGGGATAATCCAGTTCTAGTTAAGAAACGGAGATTGGATATCAATGGACTCATAGAAATACGTGGGTAACGCTAATGAAATCCTCACACCAATCTTAGGAGATTTTCTTGGTTGCTCATTTACGTATTCTATGAGGCATACTTGTGTCTTTATCAAGCTATTCTAGCAGAATACTAGAAGCACTATGATGCTACTTAAGAGGTGGCACTTCATTTTGCATCGTGCTAGCTTTACGGCCTTTGCATATAAGATATTTCCTGTGCTGTGCCATGTCTGCCTGTTGCGGGTCACAGGTTAAAGGTTTAAAAAGGCTACTACATGTTCTAAAGAGCTATCCTATGAGGATACCCAGAAGTACTCAAGAGCTATTTCATGAAGGTAATTATAGACCTTCAAGGGCTACCCTATGAGGGTACTCATAGGCCCTCGAGTCCTATTCATGAAAAACGCAGGTAGCGCACAGACATTTTTTCAACTTCGAATGAATATATCTAGAGAACAATAGGAGGGAAAGAGTTGTAATTTTTAACAAGTATGTAAGTAAACAAATTCTGTAATATTTGAAAGTTTGAACCTCCACCGTCTAACTGTTTGAATTTTATGAGTAAATTAGTGGTCTTGAGGGTGTGGGTGTGGGTGTGGGTGTGGTGAGGGTGCAGGTCGGTGGGTATGAGTGTTGTTGTCTCTCTTCACACCCATACACCCTCAAGAAATTGGTGCTTTATGCAGTGTACTTGGGTGTAACATAAGAAGTATTAATCCAAATATTGATTTTCGAGATGATATGGTATTTCTGAATAACATCTTTACACCTATTCCACCTATAACTACTAACTGTGAGGTCACAATTTCGTGGTCTCATGCCAAGCATGAAAAAGATGCTCGTGATGCAAATCATGGCACATGGAGCCCAAACCATTTTGTTTCTCTCATGTCAACATCAAATGTTATGGTAGGTTATTATCAATAAACGGAAATTCGAGAAATTTTCGATTTTCTTTAGACCCCTGAAAAGAAAACATTTAAGAACAATGCTACTATCCAAATACGAATTCCTGAATTTCAGTCTTCCCCTAGTAGACGTTTACGAAGTGAAATCAATATCGAAAATGACTCTGCTCAATCAATAATTTCAACTACAATACAAAGAGAACCGAAGGACATCGAGAGTCAACATCAAAGTCGACTTAAGAAGAAAAGAGAGTGTGCTCGTTCCAGGCGAATGAACGAGACAGATGATCAACGTCAAAAAAGACTTGAAAAGCAAAGGGAACAAAGTGAAGCAATTAGAGCCAAGAAGAAACTTAAAAATCACGCTTCTAACAGCAATACTGTCCACCAACGAAACATCGATATACAGATGAATGAAACGGAAGAGCAAGCATCTTGTGATGGTGACAGTATGGGTGATCTTACACAAAACGGAAATGCCACAAAGAAAAAGAAATGTTTCATTTCTCCGCCTTGGCCAGAAGCGATTTCTCGTGGCTTGAAAGAGACATGTTTGCAACAATTTCTTCAGCAAATGTCAATGTCAGCACTGACTGAAACTACTTGTTCAGTTTGCAACGTCCGTACGGCAGTAAAAAAATCGAAAAAAATACCGATCTCAAAAATTCCTAATGCTCATTTACTCAAAGTTTCCGACGAGCTCAAAGACTTAATCATAAGCACTCAGTCATCAACGACACAAAATTCCAGCGGTATAAATATACAAACGGCTGAACATGATCAAAGTAGTATAAAATTTTCAAAAGTAGAGAATTCATCTTCAATTTTTATTATTTTAGGTTCTTCACCCTTGAATTCACCATATTTCTATTGTAAGAATAGGATTATCTCATATGCAAATGGTTTGTCTCAACAAAACAGGGTGAGCATGTGCACAGTCTGCCAAAAATGTTACGATTCTTTGTCGAAGAAACACATTCCGAAGTTTTCGCCTGCCAATAATATGTGGTTAGGTGATGTGCCTACTGAATTGCAAGGACTTACAATTCCTGAAGAAAAGCTAATATCTCTTTATCGTCACAATAGCTGTGTGATAAAACTTCATTCCCCATTTCATTCTACTACAACTGCTCAGTCAGCATTAAAGGGAAATTGCATTACCTTTCTTCAAACTATACCAAACATCGTTAATAGTTTGCCACTTCGACTTGACGATCTTTGTGAGACGCTTAAGGTGAGTTTTGTTGGAACTCGTCCTCCCGAACGCATTCAACTTAAAAATCCTAACCGTACGCAAGAAAAGAATTATACAAGCACTATATTGGCTCAAGAAACATAATTTGCTTTATCAAAACGTCGATATAAACTTGGAAAATATCGCTCAACTACACTGTAAAAAAAAAGCGCAGAATAATCAACCCTTGCCCTTGATTTTCCTTTTCATAAACTCTTGAGGGGTTTATGAGGATGGAATATACCCTTGAAGGGTTCATGATCCAAAGGGT